CGTGCACAGTGGGAGAGCTGCTCGACGGGCTTCGTCGAGCTGCAGGGGACCGCTGTGGTGTTGCTGTCGACCAGGGAGCTCGACAGCTGCAGCAGACTGGCCTGGGCGATGGGTGGGCCGTCGACCAGGAGGGGCAGTTCGACCGGGAGGTCGACGGACCAGTCCCGAAGTCGATGTGGCTCGTCAGGCGCAGACAACAGCCGACGTATGCACAACGGTGCAAGTCGGGCCAATCGTCTGCGCGCACATGCAAGCGTGCGCACTGCTGTCTTCTACGGGGCAACGCTGGACAGGCGTTCTGTTGCCGCGTTGGCACGCCGTCGACCTGCAGTGTTGGCAGGTCACCTTTCTGCAGTGCTGGCGCGGCTCCTCTACGCAACGCTGGCAGACGGTCGACCAAGATGTGCTGGCGGTCGACCAGGCTAGCTGCAGGGTTGCTAGGTGCCTGATGTAGTCATTCTGTCATTGCTTGTTCAATCATTCTGTAATTCCAACTTTGCTAGTGGAAACTCTTGCCGATTTCTCCCGTAACTACGCAAGCACTAAGGAACTAAGCAAAGCTACGATCACTCCTAGTAGTTCGTGCCAACCCCCGTAGTCTAGCTCACTACCGTTGTAGAGTGACTCTCCGCAGCGGCTACTGCGACGAGCCCCCCAGCTAGCTGGGCCGCTACTGCAGCCAACGCTACCCAAATTACCAGGCCCCCACGGCTGCTGAGGGCGCCACTGCTGCTGAGGGCGCCACTACTGCTGAGGTTCCCACTGCTGAAACTACCGCTGCTGCTGTCCCTACTGCTAGAAAACTCTAGTGGACTTTATAGTGAAGGCTAGCGGGGTGCAGGAGTTGTAGGCTAAGAGCGACTGGAGCTAGGAGCGAGTAGTGAGAACAGCTAGGAGCGCCAGGTGAAAGTAGGCAAGGAACGGCCGGAGCACGGAGCAAACAAAGCTAGAAGCAACTGGAACAAGGAACGGCTGGAGTGAGGCACGGCCGGAGTGACAAACGTCAGGCTAGAAACTACGGGCTCGAGGAGCGGCTAGAGCAAGGAGCGAGTACAGCAAGGAGCACCAGGTGAAACTAGGCGAGGAACGTCCAAACCACGGAGCAGACTAAGCTAGAAGCAGCTGGAACGAGGAATGGCTGGAGCGAGGCACGACCGGAGCGAGAAACGTCAGGCTAGAAATCATGGGCTCGAAGAGCGGCTGGAGCGAGGAGCGAGAACAGCTAGGAGCGCCAGGTGAAACCAGGCGAGGAACGGCCGGAGTACGGAGTAAAACTGAGCTAGGAGCGTCAGGAGCTGGAAACCGCTAGGAGTGTCCGTCTAGGAACAACGGGCCAAGGACGGCCGGCTCTGAGCTAGTGTGTAACTCTACTCAAAGCTAGTGAGTGTGGATGCGGCTGCCAGCCGCTGCTGGGTGGGCCGCCAGTGACAGTAACAATGCACGGTGACAAGGACTCGCGGGGAGGTAGGATGGGCGCACAGGAACGGGAGGGAGAGGAACTAGATGGTGGTAGTGCACTGCAATGCGCGCTGCAGTGGGCTGTGCTGGCGTGTGGCGCTGGCTGGCCGCACTAGCGTGCTAAGCTGGCGTGCATGCTGGCGTGCGCGCTGGCAGGCTGCGCAGGCGTGCGAGCTGGCGGGCTGTGCTGGCTCGCGTGCTGGCGTGCGCGTTGGCGTGCGTGCTGGCGGGCTGCGCTGGCGTGCGCGCTGGCGGACTGCGCTAGCGTGCGCGCTGGCGGGCTGTGCTGCCTTGCGCGCTCGCTACGGGCCAGGGGCGCGCGCGTTCTAGCTAGGCGCGCGCGATCTGGCTGGGGCGCGCGCGACTGGCTGAGCGGCGCGCGCTACTGGCTAGGGGCGAGCTAAGGCGCCACGACGGGCATAGAACAGCCTACTGGCTGGAGGGAGTAAGGAGAGAGGGAGGAGCCTGAGGACTATAGAGCAACTTAGGCCTAGGAAGCTTCCTAGCGTGATACCATCTCAGAATTCTAGCGGAATGGATTGATTAACAAAGGAGGTGGGTATTAATGTCAGAATCTCGAGCAGGAATGGATGAACTAGAAACAGTTGGGATACAAGTAGAAACCCTAGAACGAGTTGTACCCCATGTGAGCTACCCCACTACAGCCTACAAACATATGTAGTTCAACACACCCCCATAGGCAAAGTGGGGGATAACAAGAACAACCAACGGTCACAAGACCAGTAAAGCAAGAGAGCAAAGCAAAGCAAAGGTCAGGGTGGATCACAAAGTTACCACACAGTCTCAGCACAAGTAAGAGGCCATAAGGCTGGTTCACATGCAGAGCTATAAAATGGCAAAACAAACAGGTATAGATATGAATATCACAGTACAAGGCTGCGCGGGCCTTGCGCAGGCTGTACGGGCTGAGCACGGGCCTTGCGCGGGCTGTACGGGCTGCGCGCGGGCTGTACGGGCTGCGCGCGGGCGGCGCACGGGCTGTACAGGCTGCGCGCGGGCGGCGCGCGGGCTGTACGGGCTGCGCGCGGGCGCGCTGGCTGTACGGGCTGGGCTGTACGGGTAGCGCGCAAGCTGCAGTGCGCACGCAGGCAGGCAGGTAGGTTCATGAGGTAGCTCGGGCAGGGCAGCGTGTAAGACGCTGTTAGGGCAGGGCCGGGAAAAAAAAGTTGGCAGGAGCGATACTAGCGGTGGGCCCTAAGGAGCGGTCTTACGTAGGGACCTGCTCTGAATACCATGTCAAAATCTCGAGCAGGAATTGATGAACTAGAAACAGTTGGGATACAAGTAGAAACCCTAGAATGAGTTGTATCCCACGTGAGCTACCCCACTACAGCCTACAAACATATGTAGTTTAACAACAAATGCAAACCCTAACAACCTATACTCTAATGCAGGCATCACTACAGCCTACAACATACAAATATTAAGTTTTGATAACAAGGTGTTTGTGCTTCCTTGAGTGAAATAAGGATTATGAGGTGTTTGTGCTTCCTTGAATGAAATAAGGATTATTTATAAGGATTCCTTATACCCTTGTTGCCGGTATAGCAACCAATGATAAGGTGGGTCAAACCCCTGGTACATTGGACGCCAATGGAATTAACGCCCTAACAACCAACACAGCAACTAGAGGCGCCCTTACAAAGGGGGGAATGAGGTCTTCAACAAGGCCTCGCTCCTTGCGGACGTCGGCCGGTATGCTGGCATGCGACATGAAGCACGGCAGGCTGATGGACGTCGCCACACTGCCTGCACGCCCCCTCGTTGCAGTCAGCACCACCACGCAGTAGAGTCGCACAAACACACGCAATACAGTCAAGGAAAGCTAGTCACAGTATGGACATGCATGAAGCAGTCATTGTGATGAAGGAATGTCCTGGAGGTGACTTTCGAGTCGACTCAATGGTCACCAAGGAGTGTCCTCACCACGTTCGATGCAGTCGCGCATCCGATGCAGTCACGCATCCGATGCAGTCACGCATCCGATGCAGTCACGCATCCGATGCAGTCACGCATCCGATGCAGTCACGCATCTGGTACAGCCACGCATCAGATGCAGTCACGCATCAGATGCAGTCATGCATCCGATGCAGTCATGCATTCGATGCAGTCATGCATTTGATGCAGTCACACCGCCGCAGCATTCACACCATCAATTGCGAAACACCAGATTAGGAACACCAATTTAGGAGCATCTATAGAGAATATTAAGGATAGGAGGCAGCAAGATGTGTGATGGTCGAAACCCACTCAGAGACCACTCTCACTCCACCCAGCACTGCTCTCACTCTGCCCAACACTGCCCGCATGTCACCTTACCGAAGCTGACAGCAATATTAGCGAGCTTCATCGTCTCAACAATGTGCTTCGACACGTTGATGTTGCTTGTCGTGAAACTGAGCACTGATCCCGCACCCTTGGCCTGACGGAGGTAAGTATCAGTAGATGTTGGGGAAAATATGGATCGGGAAAGAACAATTGGAAATATATAAGAAATAAAAAAGAAGCTGAACGAGAACAAATGGAGAACACCAGTTGTCAGTGGTGACAACTGTCAGTGGAGTCGATTCAAAAGTCAGTGGTAAGATAGAAAGTACAGAATCTAACTGGTGATGCAAGTGTCTGAGAAAACTTGGAGGATGCGAGTGAAGCACCTTAAAGAGGAACTTAAGAGAAGCACCTGAATGAGCAACCTCAGAAGAATACAAAAGACATGAATGAAAAAAGCACCTGAAGAAGCACCTGAGTGCAGCACCTGGGAGAAGTTGAGAGGTGCAGCACCTCCCATGTCGCATTCACCATGGGAGGACAGACCGGCATACAACACCCTCTCTTCATACGAGGTAGGGGGTTGCCAGAAACAAGCATGCTCTGAGTGTGTGAAACCATGGGTGGCGCGAATAACCATGGGTGTGGAACCGGGCATGGAGACATAGGCTGGGAAGGCACCTGGGAGAAGTGCAAGTCATGGTTGGTATGGGATGGCAGGCCGGCATAGAACACTCTTTCCACTCGCGGGTGACTGTCCAGGAACTCGGCTATTCTCTGTGCGTTCGCCTGTGCAAAGGGGCAAGATAGTGAAAGGTGGTGGTGCTTGAGTGACCATACAGAAAGTTGGGAGGGACACAGGACACTCTTTCCACTCGCGGTTGACTGTCCAGGAACTCGCTGTGCGTTCACCTGCACACAAGCATCAGCATGCGAGGGCGATTAGCAGCACCAGCATGCGAGGGCGATTAGCAGTACCAGCTGCGAGGGCAATAAGCAGTACCAGCATGCATGGGCGATAAGCAGCAGCAGCATGCATGGGTGAGACGTTGGCTGTTGGATCATCATCAGCCTCAATTGCACTCAAAACACACACACACTCCCTGTCACACGCACAAACACGCTTACCCGTACCTGTTGGCGCTCCAGGCGCATTGGCAGGGTCTTGATTCCACGCAGGCACACCCAGCAGTCAAAGGGGCTCAGCCCTGACCCCTCCGCGTTCTGCACAAAGTAAATCTCATTCCGCCAGGCTAGGAGGGGGGGAGGGGGGGGGGTTGGACGGAAAGGAGGCATGGAAGGGAGGGTGACAGGGGTAGGTAGAGACCTCCAAAGGGGCTCAGCCCTGACCCCTCTGCGTTCTGCACAAAGTAAATCTCCTTCGCCAGGCTGGACGAGTGGGCGACGAGGGACAAGGAGAAAGGGAAGGGACGGAGGATTTGGCAATTGGGATAGGAGAGATCTCCATAGGGGCTCAGCCGTGAGCCTTTTGCATTTTGCATTCTCCCATGCTGGGAGGAGTGGCGGAACGAGAGGATGCGTGTGCGGGCACGCATATACTATGAGAATTAGAGCATTTTCTGAACCATAATTACCGTATGGCCCCGGATATAGGCGCCGTCCGATTAAAGGCGCCGGCGCTTCTATCTGGAGCATGGCGCATATGGCCGGAATTCGATTATAAGCGCCCCCCCTAGAAAACCTTTACTTATTATAAGCGCACGTACAATTTGAATTTAAATTCTTTCTTAAAGCAGTAACGAAATACATTTTTGCAGCGAGTCAGATTTCAATTTCGCTTCGTTTGACTCGCAAAGTCCTGACTGGCTGCGCGTCCAGTCAGGATATGCTGGCATGGCGTGGCTTTGACTGTGTGTGAACCCAGAATATCGCTTGCGCGAGATTCTGCATTGTGACGCTAAAACATTTCGACTCGGTTGAAATGGCAAGAAGAAAATGAACAATTTGGTGCTCTAAATATATAATTTCGTATTTGTCATTATATAAGCGCCTGCGCTTATGGCCGTTACTCAATTACAAGCGCCCCCCCTCTCAATTTTTTTTTTTTTTTATAAGCGCATATGCGCTTATATCCGGGGTGATACGGTACTGAAAGTTTAGCTTTTTTATGAAATCACGTGAGTATCGCGCTGTCAATGTTGGTAATTTCTTTTCAGCCCTACTATGCCTGAGGATGGGAACATTCGTACACCCACCCATATTCGAGGACAATCTGTGAAGTACAACCAACAAATATCATATCATGATATAATTCCTTATAAAACAATGTTCATATCTCAAGACCCGGGTCTTACAAATTTAGTGCCATTTGTTGAGACCCCCCCCCCTCTACCCTAAGGTCTTATGTCCGGGTGATAAGGTATGTGCGTCTATCAACAAGTGTTACGACAAAGAGGCACTTATCATTTTGTTTGCTCTGCATACACTAGGCCCGTGCTCCAAGTAAGCAGCTCGCGTGGTGCACACCTGGTGCGGGATGCACAGAGAGGGGGAAGGGCAAAAAGGAAAACAAGACAATGCGTTGAAACGAACCGATGAGTACGGGAGCCAAGCGAGCACTGATCATCCTGTTTTCTCGGCACATGCTTGGTCCATGCTCCAAGTAAGCAGCCCGAGTGGTGCACACCTGGTGCAGGATGCATAGATTGAGGTGCCAAATAGAGGACACTCTCACGGCTAAAGAGACGTATGACAACAGGTGGAACTTACACAGGAACCAATGCAAAGACAATTTGTGCTACTGTCGGTCAACCTCTTGTCATCGTGGAGAGGTTGAGTCAATCAAACGAACATCATATACAGTAAAGAATCATATGAAACAGGGTATTGCTGCTCACTCCTTGGAAAACAGGTGACGAGGCGACAACTAAAGACACGGGACTATTATACACAGGTCTTACCCCTTGGAAACCCGGGGAGGAGGCGACAACAGAGCCCCCAAACCACACGGCAGGCTCCTGCAGATGGTGAGACACCACTGCCACCTCTACGTCCGATGCCTTGGGCTGTACGGAATGGGGGGGGAAGTGACGGGGCATGAGGGGAATAGATGATAGAAAAGGCTGATAAGTGAGCTGCTGACCAAACCGCACAGCGTGCTCCTGCAGATGGTGGCACACCACCGTGACCTCTATGTCGGATGCGTTGGGCTGGTTGGTGGAGGGAAGGCGGGGCACAGGGAAGGGTAGGAGCAATGGTTGGTGCAATTGGTGCTCGTGCAGATGGTGGCACACCACTGGGACCTCTATGACCACACGCCGTTATACACCCCCACAATAAGCATGTCTCACGAGAAGCACACCTCATTAGAAGCAGATCCAGCCAACCTATCCTTTCTTTACGCCTTGCTTACAACGTGATAACACCACCTCACTCAAAGCACACCTCACAAGAAGCACATTTCCTTATTAGTACACCTCATTACGTGATAGCACATTTTCTTTTAAGCACACCTCAATAGAAGCAGATCCAGGCATCCAGGCCTCAACAGCTCCCTTCACGTCTCGCTTACAACATGATAGCAGCACCTCACTATACCCACACCCCATTAAAAGCACAATAAAGTAAAAGCACATCTCACTACAAGCGCACCTCGCTAGACCCAGCCATGCGGGCCTCGATGGTTTCGCTAACAACATGATGGCAACACCTCACTGTATGCATACCCCACTACAAGCACATCCCACTAGAAGCACACCTCATTGCAACAAGCGCACCTCGCTAGACCCAGCCATGCGGGCCTCGAGAGCTTTCTTCACGTCTCGCTGCAACCGCCGCCCAAAGTCCTTGAAGAGGGTGGAGCCGCCTGAGAGCACAATGTTCTGTGGGATACATGGGGGCACGGGTATGACGCGAGTACGGCAAGGGTGAGAAGAAGCAATTACTGCTGCCCAAAGTCCTTGAAGAGGGTGGACGTGCCTGAGAGGAAAGGGAGAGAAAGAAAAGGGAGAGGAAGGAAAGGGAGAGAAAGGAAAGGGAGAGAAACGGTGTTCTGCGGGAGTCGAAGAGAGGGAAGGAAAGGGAGAGAAAGGGTGTTAAAGAGATAGACAAAGGGAGGGATTGGGCATAATGATCGGCCAAATTCCTTGCACATGGTGGATCTGCCTGCGAAAACAATGTTGTGAGGGAGTTGAAGGGAGGCGAGGCGAGAAAGAGGACTAACGTTCTTGCACACAGGCAAGAATGATGATCGGGCACACAGGCAAGAATGATGATCGGGCACACAGGCAAGAATGATGATCGGGCACACAGGCAAGAATGATGATCGGGCACACAGGCGAGAATGATGATCGGGCACACAGGCAAGAATGATGATCAGGCACACAGGCAAGAATGATGATCGGGCACACATGCAAGAATGATGATCGGGCACACAGGCAAGAATGATGATCGGGCACACAGGCAAGAATGATGATCGGGCACACAGGCAAGAATGATGATCGGGCACACAGGCAAGAATGATGATCGGGCACACAGGCAAGAATGATGATCGGGCACACAGGCAAGAATGATGATCGGGCACACAGGCAAGAATGATGATCGGGCACACAGGCAAGAATGATGATCGGGCACACAGGCAAGAATGATGATCGGGCACACAGGCAAGAATGATGATCGGGCACACAGGCAAGAATGATGATCGGGCACACAGGCAAGAATGATGATCGGGCAGACAAGCAAGAATGATGATCGGGCACACAGGCAAGAATGATGATCGGGCACACAGGCAAGAATGATGATCGGGCACACAGGGAAGAATGATGATCGGGCACACAGGCAAGAATGATGATCGGGCACACAGGCAAGAATGATGATCGGGCACACAGGCAAGAATGATGATCGGGCACACAGGCAAGAATGATGATCGGGCACACAGGCAAGAATGATGATCGGGCACACAGGCAAGAATGATGATCGGGCACACAGGCAAGAATGATGATCGGGCACACAGGCAAGAATGATGATCGGGCACACAGGCAAGAATGATGATCGGGCACACAGGCAAGAATGATGATCGGGCACACAGGCAAGAATGATGATCGGGCACACAGGCGAGAATGATGATCGGGCACACAGGCAAGAATGATGATCGGGCACACAGGCAAGAATGATGATCGGGCACACAGGCAAGAATGATGATCGGGCACACAGGCAAGAATGATGATCGGGCACACAGGCGAGAATGATGATCGGGCACACAGGCAAGAATGATGATCGGGCACACAGGCAAGAATGATGATCGGGCACACAGGCAAGAATGATGATCGGGCAACCACCATCCAAAGTCCTTCACCATGGTGGAGCCGCCTGGAAGCACGACGTTCCCTGGGAGTGGGAGAGGAGAGGCAAAGGGAGAACGATGGGGATAGGCCATAATGATGGGTCAAAGTCCTTCCACATCGTGGAGCCGCCATCACCTGCACGCACGATGTTCTGCAGGAGGGTAAGCCACACGGACACGCAAGTAACGATCAGCTGGCGCACCACCGGGAAGGCAACTGAATGTCACGAATCCCCCTATCAGCACGATGCCGCCTCGACTTCGGCCCAAGAAACCACCCCTTGTCGCACACACCCACACAACACCCACACAACACCCACCTTGTAGAACGAGCGGCGTGTGTCGATGGCAGCGGTCTGCACAGGCGGGGGATAGAGAGGGCACTGCGACGCCAGTGAGTGCAGAGGAAGCACCCCTTGGATCACACACCCACACAACCCTCACCTTGTAGAGCGAGCGGCGTGTGTCGATGGCGGCAGTCTGCACAGCTGCATCCACCAGCTCCGCCAGTGACGTGCCCACGTTGCTCACTGCAATCTCCGGTGAGAAGAAGACCTGCCGGGGGGAGAGGCGGCAGGGAGGGAGGGAGGGAGGGGGGGAGGGAGGGGGGGAGGGAGGGGGGGAGGGAGGGGGGGGAGGGGGGGGGGAGGGAGGGGGGGGGGGAGGGGGGGGGGAGGGAGGGGGGGAGGGAGGGAGGGAGGGAGGGAGGGAGGGAGGGAGCAGAAGGCGTAGTTGACATGGCAAGACACATAGAGGAACAACATGGGGAGCAACGGTGCACTGGAAGAGCAAAGAGGGGTGGAGAGGGGCAGTCATAAACAATTGTACTGCTGCTGCACGCACCTGCTCTGCCAGTAGTCGGCTTGGGTGTGCGTTGATTTTCAGGAGAGAAGAAGAGCATTGGAGCACTGGTGGCTGGCTGGCCATTGAAATAAAACCCCAAAGAACCAAACCCAAACCCCAAAGACGTCACCCCAAGCACATCCACGCACTCACATCGCAGCTTCAAGGCGTGCTGGTGCGCTCATTTGTGGGCGTCCTATCAACCACTCACCTCTGCAGAAAGGGACCTCTCATGCCCCACGTCGCGGCGATAGGACGTGTTGGTGGGCGTCCATTGAGGCAATCGTTGGTGGGCGTTCATTGAGAGACTTGTTGGTGGGCGTTCATTGAGGCAATCGTTGGTGGGCGTTCACTGAGACAATCGTTGGTGGGCGTTCATTGAGACACTCGTTGGTAGGCGTTCATTGAGACACTCGTTTGTGGGCGTTCATTGAGACAAACAACCCAAAACCCCAACTTCAACAACCATTCCCCTCACTCACCTCGGCGTGTTGAGACTTCAACAACGATTCCCCTCACTCGCCTCGGCGTGTTGAGACTTCAACAACGATTCCCCTCACTCACCTCGCCAGCCAGGAACCGCTCGTGCCCCGCATTGCAGCGATAGGGCGTGTTGGTGCGACGAGCACCTTACATACCCTCACATACGTGTTGGTGCGACGAGCACCTTACATACCCTCACATACGTGTTGGTGCGACGAGCACCTTACATACCCTCACATACGTGTTGGTGCGACGAGCACCTTACATACCCTCACATACGTGTTGGTGCGACGAGCACCTTACATACCCTCACATACGTGTTGGTGCGACGAGCACCTTACATACCCTCACATACGTGTTGGTGCGACGAGCACCTTACATACCCTCACATACGTGTTGGTGCGACGAGCACCTTACATACCCTCACATACGTGTTGGTGCGACGAGCACCTTACATACCCTCACATACGTGTTGGTGCGACGAGCACCTTACATACCCTCACATACGTGTTGGTGCGACGAGCACCCTACATACCCTCACATACGTGTTGGTGCGACGAGCACCCTACATACCCTCACATACGTGTTGGTGCGACGAGCACCTTACATACCCTCACATACGTGTTGGTGCGACGAGCACCTTACATACCCTCACATACGTGTTGGTGCGACGAGCACCTTACGTACCCTCACATACGTGTTGGTGCGACGAGCACCTTACATACCCTCACATACGTGTTGGTGCGACGAGCACCTTACATACCCTCACATACGTGTTGGTGCGACGAGCACCTTACATACCCTCACATACGTGTTGGTGCGACGAGCACCTTACATACCCTCACATACGTGTTGGTGCGACGAGCACCTTACATACCCTCACATACGTGTTGGTGCGACGAGCACCTTACATACCCTCACATACGTGTTGGTGCGACGAGCACCTTACATACCCTCACATACGTGTTGGTGCGACGAGCACCTTACATACCCTCACATACGTGTTGGTGCGACGAGCACCTTACATACCCTCACATACGTGTTGGTGCGACGAGCACCTTACATACCCTCACATACGTGTTGGCGCAACGAGCACCTTACATACCCTCACACCCCGAAGCACACCGCCTCACCTCAGCAGCCAGAAACCGCTCGTGCCCGACGTCACGGTGGTAGGGCGTGTTGGTGCGCACGCTGGTGGCGGTCCAGACCTTGCGGTACTTATAAGGCTCCCTGTCATGCTTGGTGAACTCCTGGGGGCACAGAGAAAGGGAGAAAGAGGAGGAGGGGGATGAGGGGACAGGGCCACATGAACCTGCGTTGGTGCTGGCCACACCTGGCTGGCTCCCTGTTGTGCTTCGTGAACCCTCTTCTTCTTCTCCCTATCGTGCTTCGTGAACCCTCTCCTTCTTCTCCCTCACACGTGAGAACACAATGATGCACACATGTGTACCTGAACACATGCACACACATGGGATTGGAGCACTTGTGCATGCTGGCATGTTTGCATGTGAAAATTCTTGCAAGAGTGGATGCATGTGGAAGAAAGCAGACACGTACATGGCTGGATGATGGATGCACCTTGACAAGATCACACCATGTTTGCATGTGTGCATGTGTGCATGTGTGCATGTGTGCATGTTTGCATGTTTGCATGTTTGCATGTTTGCATGTGTGCATGTGTGCATGTTTGCATGTATGCATGTGTGCATGTGTGCATGTTTGCATGTTTGCATGTTTGCATGTTTGCATGTGTGCATGTGTGCATGTTTGCATGTGTGCATGTTTGCATGTGTGCATGTTTGCATATGTGCATGTTTGCATGTTTGCATGTTTGCACGTGTGCATGTGTGCATGTTTGCATGTTTGCATGTTTGCATGTTTGTATGTTTGCATGTGTGCATGTGTGCATGTTTGCATGTGTGCATGTTTGCATGTGTGCATGTTTGCATGTTTGCATGTTTACATGTTTGCATATTTGTATGTGTGCATGTTTGCATGTATGCATGTGTGCATGTTTGCATGTGTGCATGTTTGCATGTTTGCATGTTTGCATGTTTGCATGTTTGCATGTGTGCATGTTTGCATGTGTGCATGTTTGCATGTTTGCATGTGTGCATTTTTGCATGTTTGCATGTTTGCATGTTTGCATGTGTGCATGTTTGCATGTTTGCATGTTTGCATGTGTGCATGCTTGCATGTGTGCATGCTTGCATGTGTGCATGTTTGCATGTGTGCATGTTCGCATGTGTGCATGTTCGCATGTGTGCATGTGTGCATGTTTGCATGTGTGCATGTTTGCATGTTCGCATGTTTGCATGTTTGCATGTTTGCATGTTTGCATGTGTGCATGTTTGCATGTTTGCATGTGTGCATGTTTGCATGTTTGCAAGTTTGCATGTTTGCATGTTTGCATGTGTGCATGTTTGCATGTGTGCATGTGTGCATGTGTGCATGTGTGCATGTTTGCATGTTTACAGACTGGAGGTACCTTGACAAGATCAGAGCATGTGTACCCATACGTCTCCTTCACTCTCCTTCACTCTCTTTCCCTCTCCTTCACGCTCCTTCCCTCTCCTTCCCTCTCTTTCACTCTCCTTCTCTCTCCTTCAAACATGCATAGCTGCACCTTGACAAGGTCGGAGCATGCATAGCTGCACTGTACCTTGACTATGTCGGAGCATGCATAGCTGCACTGTACCTTGACAAGGCCGGAGCATGCATAGCTGCACTGTACCTTGACAAGGTCGGAGCATGCATAGCTGCACTGTACCTTGACAAGGTCGGAGCATGCATAGCTGCACTGTACCTTGACTAGGTCGGAGCATGCATAGCTGCACTGTACCTTGACTAGGTCGGAGCATGCATAGCTGCACTGTACCTTGACTAGGTCGGAGCATGCATAGCTGCACTGTACCTTGACTAGGTCGGAGCATGTGTATCCATAAGTCTCCTTCACTTTTCTCGCCACTTCAATCGCCTCCTCTGCTGGTACCGGCTCCCCTCGGTCCTGATATTGGAATGGGGTAGAGCATGGGGTAGGGAACGGGGTAGGGCACGGGGTAGGGCATGGGGTAGGGCATCAATACAACACCATATAATCTCATAGCACATAGAAATAAACCATATCCTGCGTGATTGATTTGAAAGAAGACGAACCAGACAGACCTGTGGCGGCATCAGCACGAGCTTGACCCAGCGAGCTTGCATGAAGGCATGAGCTTGCATGAAGGCATGAGCTTGCATGAAGGCATGAGCTTGCATGAAGGCATGAGCTTGCATGAAGGCATGAGCTTGCGTGAAGGCATGAGCTTGCCTGAAGGCATGAGCTTGCATGAAGGCATGAGCTTGCATGAAGGCATGAGCTTGCATAAAGGCATGAGCTTGCATGAAGGCATGAGCTTGTGTGAAGGCATGAGCTTGCATGAAGGCATGAGCTTGCATGAAGGCATGAGCTTGCATGAAGGCATGAGCTTGCGTGAAGGCATGAGCTTGCCTGAATGCATGAGCTTGCATGAAGGCATGAGCTTGCATGAAGGCATGAGCTTGCATGAAGGCTCTAGAGTGAGCGCCGGCCAACACACAGCCGTGTACCACCAGAGAGATGTAGAATCATGAGAATAAAGAGTAGGACATTACCCACATGAGCTGTTGCACCAAGGCCGTGGAGTGGGCGCCCCCCACTGGCATGGAGCGAGAGCTGCCCCCAACACATAGCCCTCTACTACTGGTTGAGTCCTCTATCACTGGTTGAGTTGCTGCACCACCAGCGTTATGTACCCGCATCAGCTCTTGCACCAAGGCCGTGGAGTGGAGTGCGCGGCCCCAACCGGCACGGGTCGGGAGCTGCCTGCCAACACGTAGCCCTCTACCAGCAGAGCAGAGAGAGTTGCAGATGAGATGAAAGGGTAGAGAGCAAGGCTTTACCCGCATGAGCTGTTGCACCAAGGCCGTGGAGTGGGCGCCGCCCATGGGCATGGAGCGAGATCTGCCCCCAACACATAGCCCTCCACCACCGGCACGACAGAGGCTGAAGCAAAGCCTGCATCCACCACCACGCCTGTCATTGGGACCTGGAGGGTGGGGAGAGATGGGGCCATGAGAGGGCATGATGGGGCCATGAGAGGGCATGATGGGGCCATGAGAGGGCATGATGGGGCCATGAGAGGGCATGATGGGGCCATGAGAGGGCATGATGGGGCCATGAGAGGGCATGATGGGGCCATGAGAGGGCATGATGGGGCCATGAGAGGGCATGATGGGGCCATGAGAGGGCATGATGGGGCCATGAGAGGGCATGATGGGGCCATGAGAGGGCATGATGGGGCCATGAGAAGGCATGATGGGGCCATGAGAGGGCATGATGGGGCCATGAGAGGGCATGATGGGGCCATGAGAGGGCATGATGGGGCCATGAGAGGGCATGATGGGGCCATGAGAGGGCATGCTTAGGAGTAGACCTGAGGAAACTGACCAACAGGTGATTGTTTTTGGCCAAAACTGTCCGGGGTGAACACGTTCGTGCTCGCCTGAATATGTTCGTGCTCACCTGAATATGTTCGTGCTCGGTTCGTCGCAGCTAGCCAAGCGGCGACGAACACGAATGTGTTTGTCGGGAATGTCCCCCGCGACACATTTATAGGTCGACGCTGGACATTAGCTAAGCTGATTTTTTAGCTCGTTTCTAGCTAACATTCCCCCCACGGCCTAGTCTAGAAGCACCAGCAGCAGTAGTACCTTCAACGCTTCTTGCATAGGTTGGCGAAAACGTTTTCCTATACTCCACACTAGTTTAGGGGTGTCGCCATAAGGGTTTTGGGGGTCTAGAAAGAGAAACCAGCGCTGGCCATTTATTAGGGTTACGTAGAAACCCAAAATTGTAAAGTGTAACTATAACGAGGGCTTCTGGTTAGGCGAGCATGTAAGACCTGAAGACGTGAAGAGCAGGGGTGAGAGGGGAATGAGAGATGTATACATGAAACGTCTCAATACAGGATGAAAACCCGAGGACATGGGGTGAGATATACATTCAGTGGAGTGAAGGAGAACGGAGGGAGGGGGAATGGGGGGAATGGGGAGACTGGTAGGCGTAATGATGGATATTGGGAGACTGGCATGGGGGAGGAGTTAAAGCGGCATTGTTCACACAACCTGCCAGGGTTGTTGTTTTCACCTGAGCTGCCGTGTTTGCTGCAGTGAGGGCAAGGGATGGTTGACTGGCCATGTACAGACCTGCCACGTTGAACCTGCATCCACAGCGTGAGTGAGGCAAGGGGAAGGGGACAGAGGGGTGGGATCGAAGAAGTAAGGGCACAGGGTAGACTGGCCATGTACAGACCATCCCGCAAACGATCCTCATGTTCGTAGTGAGGGGTGATGCCCCTTCCGTATCGTTGATTTTAACGAAGTACGCCCCCTGTGTTTTTCAAGCCTGTGCAATCATCCACTTATGTGGTCTCTAATGCCTACTTTGAATGATTCGTGTTCCATGTTCGGTGCGCAACTTCGTGAGCTGCTTGTAATATTCTCCTGTTCTGTAACCTGCATCTATTCTATATGGTTCGGTTAGAGATAGACACCCAAACTTAGTTTGGGTGTACTTCTTGGGTTCCAACCCCCAATTGGGGTTAACACTAGAAGTACACCCAAGCTAAGTTTGGGTGCCCATCTCTAACCGAACCATATAGAATAGATGCAGGCTACAGAATAAGAGACTATTCTAACACAACCCCTTAACGTGCAGATTTGAGGAAGGTCGGAAGAGATAGAGGGGGAACAACCCCTGAATCGAGGAGCGCCTGGGGGAACAAGGCCGATGAGGCAAAGAAGAGAGGAGTGCACAGGGCAAGGAAGCGCCTTAGTGAAGATATCGGCCAAGTTGGCCTCGGCGGCGATCTTGCGAATGGCAAGGAGACCCCGCTGAACGAGCTCGCGGATGAAGAAGTAGCGCAGCTGGATGTGCTTGGAGGGGGCGTGGTAGACGGGGTCTTGGGTGAGATGGATGGTGCTGGCATTGTCACACCAGAGAGTGGGGCAACGCTGAGGAGCGCCAAGCTCAGCAAGAAGGAAGCAGAGCCAACGTGACTCTTGAGCCGCCATGGTGCCAGCGTAGAGCTTGGCCTCACAGGAGGAGAGAGCGATGGCAGAGGAACGCGTAGAGCTCCAGCTGATAAGGGCGCTGCCAAGAGTGAAACCGTATCCCTGAGAGGAGCGGCGATCCGGCTGCGAGTCGGCCCAGGAGGAGTTGCTGAAGCCCGAGAAAAGGGGAGGGGAGGGGCCACCAAGGGTGAGGGCATGGTCCTTGGTGCCGCTTGGCGGCCTTCCAATGATCCTTTGTGTGGCGGCCGGTGCCAACAAAGCGAGCAAGCACGCTGATGGGGTAGGCAAGGTCGGGGCGGGTGCACATCATGGCGTACATCAGTGACCCGACGAGCTCGGCATAAGGGCGGGAGGAGGAGGAGGGGGAGGTTGGTGGGGCGAGCTGGTGGCCGAAAGAGAGGGGGGTGGACACGGGCTTGGCCTGCGCCATGTCGAACTTCTCCAGGACCTGGCCGAGGTAGCGAGACTGGGAGAGAGTGATGGTGCGGGCTGACCGGTCATGCGTGATGACATGCCGAGATAGTGCTGCAGGGCGCCAAGGTCCTTGCAATTGAGACGCTCCTGCAGCGCCTTCTTCACCTGCGCCATGTCGACCTTGGAGTCAGCAAGCAGCATCACGTTGTCGAAGTACACCAGTACAAAGAAGCGACGAGGTGAGGTTCGAATGAAGAGACTGGCGTCAGAGTGAGACACGGAGAAGCCAACGGACCGCAGGGTGGCAGACAGCTTCGCGTGCCACTCCCGTGGGGCCTGCTTCAAACCAGAGACCGGGCGATGCAACTGCCACACAGTGTTCTACAGAAAGGCAGCGTGGAACCCGGGGGGTCGTCTCAGGAAGATGCGCTCGTGCAGCTCGCCTTGAAGGAATGCATTGGAGACATCCATGGAGTCGATCTCCATGTCGTCGCGGGCGCCAATATCGAGGACGGTGCGAAGGGTGGGCGGCTTGGCGGTGGGGGCGAAGGTAGCCTAGAAGTCCACAGCCCAAGTCTCTGTGAAGCCCTTTGCGCAGTAGCGCGCCTTGTAGACCGGCTCCTCACCCGGTAGCTGCTTCACCCGAAAGACCCACTGGCCCTCGACGAGGTTGGCATCGGCAGGGAGGGGGACTTCGATGAAGGAGTCATTACGAATGAACGCCTCACATTCCAGGAAGATGGCAGCAATCCACTTGTCAGCATCAGGGCAAGTGATGCCTTCTTGGAAGGTGGAAGGAAGGAAGATGGTGGGGGCGGAGATGGCGCTGAGGACAAGAGCGCCGAGGAATTCAGGAAAGGGAAGGAGTGAGGTGTTGAACTGCGAGGAACTCCTCACGACAATCCTCGATAAGGTGAAGGGAGGAGGGAGGTGGGGTGCCAAGGACTTTGTCCAGGGAGCGGGTATGCATGCGAGGGAGAAGGAAAGGGGAGGAGCGGGAGGTCGCTCGGCGCTGCTGCTGCTGCTGCTGCTGCGGCTGCTGCCCCTGCTGCTGCTGCTCCGGCTGCTGCCCCTGCTGCTGCTGCTGCTGCTGATGCGGCTGCCCCTGCGGCTGCTGCTGCTGCTGCTGCTGCTGCTGCTTCTGCTCCTGCTGCTGCGGCTGTCCCTGCTGCTGATGCTGCTCCTGCTGATGCTACTGCTGCTGCTGAGGGAGAGAAGGAGGAGGAGAGAGGGAGGGGGAGGGAGGAGGGGCTGCAGCGGAGTGGGCCGGTGAGGCAGGTGCAGCGGGGTCGTAGATGTCAGCAGAGGAGGGGGGAGGGAGCGGGGCAGCAACAGGGGGGAGGAGGGGTGCGGGAGGGAGGAGGGGTGGGAGGACGGTATCGGTCCAAGCCAAGGGGCGAGAGGGAGGGGGGAGGGGATCAGGAGGAGGGGTGGAGTAGTAGGGAACGGATTCGTCGAAGACGACGTCAATTCTGCGGATGAGGCGGACAGGGGGAGGGTGGAGGAAAAGGTAGCCTGGGGAATCGCGATTGTGCCCGAGGTAGACGCACTCCAGGGCACGGGAGGCGAGCTTGCCAGCAGCGCGGGAGCGATCAGGCGGAGGGATGAGGACGAACGCCTTGAAACCCCAAACACGAAGGCAAGCAGCGTCAGACTTGGCTTTAGACCAAAGTTATGTGGGGGAGGAGGTGGAGTGCTGAGGGTGGGAGCGGAGGTTAAGGAGGGTGGCGGCATGAAAGAGGGCATAGCTCCAGAGGGAAGGAGGGGAGCAATCTTGGTGATCTAACGAATGCGACTCTCAGCGATGCCGTTTTGCCGAGGGGAGTGGGGAAGGGTGGAAGTCTGCTGAATGCCGTGCGTTTTGCAGTAGGTGGAGAGGGTATGATTGATGAACTCACCCCCACCGTCAGAGTGGAGACGGCTGATGGGGCGTTTGAAGAGAGTGCGGCACAGCTTAGCCCAGTTGATGACCATAGCCGGCGCCTGTTCCTTCGTGTGAAGGAAGGAGACCGTGGAGTACCGACAGTGGTCGTCAGGAGCGGGGGTGGAGGAGGTGGAGTGCTGAGGGTGGGAGCGGAGGTTAAGGAGGGTGGCGGCATGAAAGAGGGCATAGCTCCAGAGGGAAGGAGGGGAGCAATCTTGGTGATCTAACGAATGCGACTCTCAGCGATGCCGTTTTGCTGAGGGGAGTGGGGAAGGGTGGAAGTCTGCTGAATGCCGTGCGTTTTGGAGTAGGTGGAGAGGGTATGATTGATGAACTCACCCCCACCGTCAGAGTGAAGACGGCTGATGGGGCGTTTGAAGAGAGTGCGGCACAGCTTAGCCCAGTTGATGACCATAGCCGGCACCTGTTCCTTCGTGTGAAGGAAGGAGACCGTGGAGTACCGACTGTGGTCGTCAAGGAGGACGAGCATGTACCTGTGCCCCTGACGGGAGCGAATGGGAGAGGGGCCCCACAGGTCCATGTGAACAAGGTCAATGGGGGCAGCTGCGAAAGTGGGATGACTGTGATGGGGGGACTGTTTGAGCTTGCCATGAATGCATGATGGGCATGGGGGAGTGGGGGAGGAAGGGAGGGGAGGAAGCGTGGGAGGGAGGCTGTTAAGGAGGCAAGAGGTGACAGCAGTGCGAAGTGCAGTGAAGTTGGGATGGCCAAGTCTATGATGGAGGAGCACTGCAGGATGGGAGAGATCATTGGAGGAGGAAGGGGATGGAGCAGATGAGGGGGAGGGAGAGGAAGGAGGAGGAGGGGGGGTTGCCTGAGGAGGAAGGGGGGGAGGAGCGGTGGAGGTACCAGCACGGGTTGTGACGTGGCAGAAAGAGGGACGTGGAGTGCGAAGAGTGTAAAGCCGAGTGCGAGGGCAGAGGGGAATGCGTTGGAGAAAGCGATCAGTGACAGTGTGGAAGAGGTCGCAGTAAGAGGCATGACCTGGGTAAATGGCGGTAATACCAGCACGCTGCAGTTCACGGTGGGAGAGAAGGTTGTTGCGGAGGGTGGGGATGTGAAGACCGGTAACCGTACCAGAGGGGAAAATAGTGCAGGGGAGAGTGGAGAGGTGAGTGCAGGGGATGGAAAAGCTAGCGTCTGCACCGTGAACCTGAGTGGGAAGAGGAAGGGGTGTGAGGGTACCAGCATCCTTAAGCGCGGTCTCAGTGGCCCCACTATCAAGGACAAAGTCCAAGGTGGAGGAAGGGGACACGGAGTACTGAAAAGTGGTCTCATTGATGACATAGGGGTACATGGAAGGAAGAGATGGTGTGAGAGAAATATTACCAAGGAAACTATCATGGGTGAAAGGGGAGGCGGTGCCACTGGGGGGGAGCAGGGGGGAGAGAGCTCTAAGGGGGGGGAGCAGGGGAGGCTTGGGCAGCCATGGCAGCCGTGCCAAGGTTCAGCTGCTGCTGCTGCCAAGCGGCGGCTCCGGCGGCGGCGGCCGCGGCTTGAGACCCAGGACTCCACTGCTGCTGCTGCTGCTGCTGCCACTGCTGCTGCTGCCACTGCTGCTGCTGCTACTGCTGCTGCTGCTGCTGCTGCTGCTGCTGCTGCTGCTGCTGCTGCTGCTGCTGCTGCTGCTGCTGCTGCTGCTGCTGCTGCTGCTGCTGGAATTGCTGCAGGTGAGGAGGAGGGAAGGGGGTGAGGAGGCGGAGGTGAGCAGGAAGGAAAGCAGGGAGGGTTTGGATGTCAATGAGGGAGGGGCGTGGGTTAACGGTGCCCCAACGAGGAGGAGTGCCGACATTGCCCCGATCGAACCACGCATCATCAAGTTCCTTGAAGCATGTAGTGGGAGGGTGAGTGGTTTGACCGCAGGGGGTGCCCGCACAGGGACCATGACGGCGAATGTAAGTGCAGGGGGGGAGAGTGCCGGGACGCAACCCACGGCCTCTAGAGGATGGGCCACCAGAGTTTGCGCCACCCGAAGTGGCGGGGCTACCGTTCCCATCACCACCGGCGCCGGTGCTGTTATGGTCAGTGCGGCCTCCACGACTGTTTCCATCACCACTGACCATAACAGTGGAGTTCACCGAGCCTGACTACGGCTAACTGACTACGGAAGCGCGGAGTTCACAAGCCTGGAAGCGGCACATGAGGGTATCTGGGAGAGCGCCGAGGAGAACAGTGCAAGCGCGATTGTCGGCGGCGGACTAGGCAATGAGGTTAGGGGTGTAGGCGGCCATGTCGGTGTCATACTTGGCAAGGACCGCAAGGTGAGCATTGCGCCCTGCCATAGCATGGTCGTAGTTGTCAGTGGCGGCGTCGTGGTCAGCCTTGCGGATGAGGTATTCACGGCGACGGAGGAGGAAGGTAGCCTCTGTGGTAGCTTGAAGCTCGGTGGTCGCGACGACCTGGAGTTCTGGTTCATGAGGAGGAGGACCGGGGGGGGGGGGGAAGGGGGGGGGGGGGGGAGGGGGGTATCGCCGGGGTTGTTGGGTGTGGTAGGAGGGAGTGCGTGTGGGCGACGAAGAAGGACGTCGAGGACGCAGTAGGGGGGGACGTAGGCTTCCTTGAGGGCACGACGGGTGCTGCCAACGAATGAGTACCAGTTGATGGCGGATTTGTCCGCGGCGAGTTGCAATTTGTCAATGGAGGATGCGTTGATAGGTGGAGGGAGAGAGGAAGGAGGAGGGGAAGGGGTGGTAGCCATGGATGGCGACTGCGGGTGGACCCGCGGCGGCCAAGAGGAGTGCTGTCACTGCTGCTGCTACTACGGCTGCCTTGATGTCCGGGCTGGCGGGCTTGATGTCCGGGCTGGCGGGCTTGATGTCCGGGCTGGCGGGCTTGATGTCCGGGCTGGCGGGCTTGATGTCCGGGCTGGCGGGCTTGATGTCCGGGCTGGCGGGCTTGATGTCCGGGCTGGCGGGCTTGATGTCCGGGCTGGCGGGCTTGATGTCCGGGCTGGCGGGCTTGATGTCCGGGCTGGCGGGCTTGATGTCCGGGCTGGCGGGCTTGATGTCCGGGCTGGCGGGCTTGATGTCCGGGCTGGCGGACGTGTTGTCCGGGCTGGCACACTTGATGTCCGGGTTGTTTGTTTGTTTGTTTGTTTTGGTTTTTTTTTTTTTTTTTTTTTTTAGAAGCGGCGACGGGGGGTCGCGGCGAAGGGCGCACGGGCGGCGGCGGCGACAGGGGCCGCGGCGGGGACGCCGCGGGATGCGGCGACGAGGGGTCGTGGCGAAGAGCGCGCAGGCGGCGGCGGCGACAGCGCGGGAAGCGACGACAGGTGGTCGCGGCAAGGAGCGCGCGGGCTGCGGCGGCGAAGAGGCCGCGGGCGACAGTGCGCGGGAAGCGGCGACGGGGGTCGCGGCGAAGAGCGCGGGGGTGGCGGTGGCGACGGGGCCGCGGCGGCGACGGCGCGTGGGAAGTGGCGACAGGGGTCACGGCGAGGAGCGCGGGGGTGGCGGCGGCGATGTGGCCGCGGCGGCGATGGCGCGCAGGAAGTGACGACGAAGGTCGCGGCGAGGTGAGCGCGTGCGGCGGCGGATTGGCCGTGGCGGCGTAAGCAGCGGCAACGGTAGCGTCACGGCGATGGGAAGGTAGGTCCCGGCGGCGAGGAGGCCGCGGCGGCGAAAAGACGGCGACGGGACCGTCGCGGAACGGGAGGGGAGGCTTGCGGCGGCGGGAAGGCCGCGGCTTTGAAACGGAGGGGAGGGGGAAAGCCGGCGATCTTGCGATGGCAAGGTGGGCCCTTTGGGAGAAAAAATGGAGAGGGAGGGTGGTTAGGTCTAGGAACGTTTAAGCTCTATACCGTGTGAGGAAGAACGATTGAAGAGAAACGGATAGTTTGATTAGAAATGATAGGGGTATACATAGTTGGAGCTAGAAGGGGGGGGGGGGGGGGGGGGTGGTTGGAATATAGCCAACATTATTGCCCCCCCACCAATAAGTTGAGTTGGGGAATTACTGGGGGGTCCCAATAATGTTGGCCAACTTTGAGTTGAGTCAACATTATTGGGGTGGACCAATAATCTTCCCAACCCAACCCTTGGGGGCCAATAATTGGACCAAGGTTGGGTTCCAACCCCCAATTGTACTTCTAGGGTGTAACCTGCATCTATTCTATATAGTTCGGTTAGAGATAGGCACCTCAACCCTAGAAGTACACCCAAACTAAGTTTGGGTGCCTATCTCTAACCGAACCATATAGAATAGATGCAGGTTACAAATCAGGCGAATATTCTAACACTGCTGACTTGGTGCAACCCACAATGCGGTCAAGAACGCGTGTGGCCATCAGTGGAAGAGGGGGTGGGAAGGGGGGGAGGGGGGTGGGGAAGGGTGGGTTGGGGGGGTCGCCCCATCCGTCACCCACGCTCACTGCCCGTACACCGCACACGCTCACTTCCCTCCGTCGCCCACGCTCACTGCCCGTACACCGCACACGCTCACTTCCGTCCGTCGCCCACGCTCACTACCCGTACACCGCACACGTTCACTTCCCTCCGTCGCCCACGCTCACTGCCCGTACACCGCACACGCTCACTTCCCTCCGTCGCCCACGCTCACTGCCCGTACACCGCACACGCTCACTTCCCTCAGTCGCCCACGCTCACTGCCCGTACACCGCACACGCTCACTTCCCTCCGTCGCCCACGCTCACTGCCCGTACACCGCACACGCTCACTTCCCTCCGTCGCCCACGCTCACTGCCCGTACACCGCACACGCTCACTTCCCTCAGTCGCCCACGCTCACTGCCCGTACACCGCACACGCTCACTTCCCTCCGTCGCCCACGCTCACTGCCCGTACACCGCACACGCTCACTTCCCTCCGTCGCCCACGCTCACTGCCCGTACACCGCACACGCTCACTTCCCTCCGTCGCCCACGCTCACTGCCCGTACACCGCACACGCTCACTTCCCTCCGTCGCCCACGCTCACTGCCCGTACACCGCACACGCTCACTTCCCTCCGTCGCCCACGCTCACCACCTGCCCCTCGCCTTCTCTCAAAGACCCTCTGTCGCCTATGCTCCCTCCCCATCCCCGCCTCCCCATCCCTAACCCTCTCCATCCCCCATCTCCCCATCCCTCACCTCCCAGTCTCTCATCTTACCATCCCTCATCTCCCCATCCCTTCCCTCTCCATCCCTCACCTCCCCATCCCCCACCTCCCCATCCCCGCCTCCCCATCCCTTCCCTCCCCATCCCTCACCTCCCCATCCCTTCCCTCCCCATCCCTCACCTCCCCATCCCTTCCCTCCCCATCCCTTCCCTCCCCATCCCTTCCCTCCCCATCCCTCACCTCCCCATCCCTCACCTCCCCATCCCTCACCTCCCCATCCCCGCCTCCCAATCCATTCCCTCCCCATCCCTCACCTCCCCATCACTTCCCTCCCCATCCCTTCCCTCCCCATCCCTCACCTCCCCATCCCTTCCCTCCCCATCCCTTCCCTCCCCATCCCTCACCTCCCCATCCCCGCCTCCCCATCCCTTCTCCCCATCCCTCACCTCCCCATCCCTTCCCTCCCCATCCCTCATCTCCCATCCCTCACCTCCCCATCCCTCACCTCCCCATCCCTCACCTCCCCATCCCCGCCTCCCCATCCCTTCCCTCCCCATCCCTCACCCCCCCATCCCTTCCCTCCCCATCCCTCAACTCCCCATCCCGTCGCCCACGCAAACTCTCTTTCCGTCGCCCAGCTCACCATTCCGGCCCACCCCATTCCGCCCCACCCCATTCCGCCTCACCCATTTCCACCCTAAACCCCATTCCGCCTCACCCCATTCCGCCTCACCCCTTTCCGCCCCACCCCATTTTGCCTCCCGTCCTCTCTCTATCCCCTCCTCTTCCAAACCCATCCCTCCTCACCTTTCCCCATCCCTCCTCTCCCCATCCGTCCTTTCCCCATCCGTCCTCCTCACCCCATCTCCTCCTCACCCCATCTCCTCCTCACCCCATCTCCTCCGCACCCCTCATCCCTTGTGCTTCTCTGCACTAGGGAGCTCCTTGGGGAGGGGAGATGCGGTTGGCGACGGGCAGAGTCGGCCCAGAAGAGGCGGACGTGGTGCTGCTGGAGCCCCCCGTCCCGTCCTCCCAACCTATCTTCCACCTGCATACCTTCGTCTGCGCATCTCCCAATTCCTCATCTCCCCATTCCTCAAATTGCTCTCCCTTGTTCTCCCCCGTCTCAAGTCTCCCCATCCCTCAAATCTCCCCTTCACTCACCTCCCCATTCCTGTTGTTGCTCTTGCAACAAACATGAGGATCCTGCCCTCTGCCCCCCTCCCGCGTCGCTATCCCTGCCTCTCCCCCGTCAACCCCATCCCATCCCTGTGCCTCCAGGGACGGGGTGGACGTGGAGCATAGGAGTGTGGGCGTGCGACCTGCCGCACCACCGCTTCCACGGGCTCGTTGTCGAGCTGAGTCGGGGGCGCCGCGATGCCCAGGGAGGCACCATCTCCGCCCCACCCCACTCCGCTTTCCCCCATCTCCGCCCCTCCCCACTCCGCTTTCCCCCATCTCCGCCCCACCCCACTCCGCCCCACCCCACTCCGCCCCACCCCATCTCTGCCTCCCGCTTGTCTCCCCTATACCCACGATCCTATTGTCCCCCAAACCCTTCCCTTTGGTTGCACCCTTCCCGCCCCCACACCCCATTCTGCAACTGCATCCAGAATAGCGTGCTACAGCTGTTGCTGTGGCGAGCGGGTGTGGCTGCAGACGGGGGTCACAAGGTGAGGCACACCACAACCTGCTCTGTTGTGTGGGGTTTAGGATGCTCTGCTCTGCTCTGCGAATCTGCGGTGCTGTGCTGTGCTCTGCTTTGCACACACCCCTCCTCTCCCTTCGCATAACCTTTGTTTCTCTTTCTGTCTCATCTCATTCACCACCAGGTGGATGTGCAACGAATCAAGCTCAAGACATCAGTTCGTGGACCATCGTTATATAATACTAGCATATTCTGTCCTGGATGCACTGACATGATGACCCCCTTGACTCGTATATTGTCCCTCACGAAATAAACCTTGATTCAACTAATTGGGTTTCGCGAATATGCCGACTGCGTTGGGTTGTAAGATTGGATGGTAAAAATCGAGTCACATGAAGGCACAAAACATAGCGCACAAAAGCGCTACTGTACTAGTCTAGGCGGGAATCATGCCCAACACATCATATACATGAGTATTTCATGGTTGAGATCACTAGATCATAGACAAACTCTGAGAAATGAATGTGTGGAAGAATTACATAGTGACGCGGATACACACACTTCGCGGACGGCAAACACGATGAGGAAGTGAATGACCAAGCCATTTTGTATGTTCTGGAGGTGCCCATACTAAGTCAATAGACATGGTAAATGGCTTGGTCATTCAAGCCTGTAACTGCTGTGGAAAATGAGTGGTGGGCAAAACGGAAAACAAGATGAACAAAACGGGATGAAGGGAATAAACTACGAGAACACCATGTGGGACTGAACGGCATCGAATGTGGTGAACGGAAGCAGGCCATATAAAGCATGACGCCTGAGGGAATAGATGGGAAATTGTAGAAGAATGAAGTGGAGGGAGAGCGAGAAGCAGGGTTGTGGGGGAGAAACATAACTCAGGGGTAAGAGAGGTGAGCAAGTGGGACAGGGTGAGCTGGGGGTACGCGAGTGAGTAGGGTGGGCAGAGAGTGAGAAAGGGGGATGGGAGAGCTCAGGGATAAAGAGAACGAATAGGGGTAAGATAGTGAGCTTGGAGGAAGTTTGTGAGTAGGGCTGCAGGGAATGAGAGTAGGGCAATGGGAGGTACATAGTGAGCAGGGGGAAATTGCCGTGATCAGGAGGAAACAGAGCAACCTTAGGGAAAGCGGGATGGGAGGGGGATACAGAGCACCGAGACGGGAAGAGAGTGAGGAGGAGGGTTTAGAGCGAGCAGAGTGGAAAAGAGTGTTGGTGTTGGAAGTAGAGCAAGCATAGGTGAAGAGAGTGCGTAGGGTGGAGAATGAGGGGGGACATTGGATTAGGGTAATGCTCAGGGTTGACAGAGGGGAAATAAAGTTTGTTCCACGTACCAAAACTATGGCTTGCGAAGTCGATGAGGAATTGTATGACCAAGCCGTTTAGTCTGTATTTGCGGAGCCCGTACACGGTCAATAGACATAAATGGCTTGGTCATACAAGCCTATAACTGCGGTGGATAACCGGGGTTGGCAAAGAGAACATTGGAACAAGACGTGGGAAGGGCGGGTTGATGACACAAGATTGGTGGGCTGCCGGAATAAGGTTTTGGCCTAAACGGGAAGCAATAAAAAGCAAGGGGGCTAGTGGTAACATTAGGGAAAGGTGGAGTCGAGAGTAGGGGAGGCAGGGGAAAATATGAGGTTGAGATGTTGTTAGCAGGGCTGCAAGCCGAAACCCAAGGTAAGTGGGTAAGAGAGTGAGCTAGGGGAAGAGAGAGGGTAGAGGGGAAGACAGTGTGCAATGGGGAGGGAGATAGCAGGGGAAGAGATGCGCACAGGAGATAATGAGAGTGAACAAAGTGGACGAGTGTCGGTAGGGGGATGGGGCAGCACAGTGAGCAAGTGGAGAACGCCGTGATTAGGGGGAAACATAGCAAGCTGAGAGGAATATAGTTGGTAGGGAGAAACAAAGCCCCGTGACGGGAAGCAAGTGAGTATGAGGAAAGAGATCGAGCAGAGAGAAAGGGAGTGAGCTGGGGGTGGTTGTGCAAGCTGAGGGCAAGAGGATGAGTATGGGGGGAAACTGAGGGTGGATAGAGGTTTAACATAATGCATGGGTGAGGGCGGCACGGTAAGTACCACGTACCAGAACAATGGGTGTGAATGCTGTGGTCATCCGCTCTTGCCTTCAACCCTCAGAGTGGGTTAGTCAGGTCACCTTGTGTATTAGAATGCGTATGTGAGAGATTGAAACGAGGCACACAATGATGAGCAATGCGCATTTGTCATATAAGCTTAGTAATGCCGGTAATGGAAATGACACGTACACAGTTGTCCTGCACATCTTATGCTCACCGAACAAATTGCGACGTGGACCGAGAATGTTGGTGTTTGTTGTGTTGGGTGTAGGTTGTGTTGTTGTTGGAGTTCGTAGCTGTGAAAGTCCCGACCCGAGGGAATGACCAGCGGATGCCGCCCCTTCCCCATCCCGAGTCGTTGGAGTACCATCCATATCGGCAGACTCTTCATCAGGCTCAGGAGATTCCGTCCAAGGACGCCTCCACTCTCTGAGGATGCTGTCAACCCAGCCCCAGTCCATTGGACCGAGCACTCGATCCCTCCGACCACGTCTTATTCGTGTAGTTCGCCGCGCGCGGATGATATACGCACGCACAATACGATCCATAGTGTGGTTCCAATGGAGAGCAGCCATGGCAACTTGCGGCTCATAACTAACGTCGAATCGGATGCGTTTGGGTGCGTATTTGATTATGAGCGAGTGAAACGACTCATTCATTGAGGTGGTTGCGCCCTCAACAATGGGTGCAACCTTGGATGGACTGAAGTGTTTCGTTATCCACGCGCGCACGGCTAGATGTGTCGGAGAGTTTGGCAAATATACAGCAGACTCCGCACCCCAATTCTCCGTCACACATCTCGGTGCACATGACCCGCCTCTGCTGCACCGAAAATGATCTCCTGCAAAGTGGTCCGCTGCAAGGCATAACTCAGCTGACACATCCTCACACGACCGAGTGTGCCCCTCTTTAGCCTTCACCCCGTTGCGCATCATGCAATGATAAAAGTGCACGGCAAGTCTGTCAACAACCCTAACCCCCTTCCCTCTCGCCTGTACCTCACCATCACCATTGCTCCCGCCACCCTCTTCAGGCCGTGGCCGTGGTCGTGGTCTTGGAGCACGCCGTCCCCACCTCCTATGGCTCCCCACTGTTCCGGCTGGCTCCACGTTGACACCCTCGCCAACCCTGGATGTCGAGGGTGTGGCTCTACTTGCAGTTATGGGCAACACCTCTGACTGTGCCCTCGCTTGTCGACCTGCTCACAAAAGTGTGGGAAGATGGGAAAAAGAGCAGGAGCCGGCGTCAGGGCATGGTAGAAGGGGTTTACAAAAAAAAGAGACAAGGCATGTTTCCAAAACAGTACAAGGGGGATTGAAGGGCGAACGGACAACGTAGTGGGGTGGATTGTGGACGAAAAACAATAATGGGAATGGGGAGCACTGACACGGAATAGGTTGTGGGAAAAAAAAAGAGTGAGGCGGGGGATGAGATGTCAAGGAGCAAATGGGGAGGATAAAAATGGGGTGGGATGGTTATGCGGAAGGGGAAGTGATATTGCCCACACACAGGCGCACCATTACCTTGATCGTCATCCTCCACTTCTGTGTCGATGCCCTCAACCCCGTTCCACGCCTGTACAAGTACCAATGATGCATGCGAGGCAGGGTGTATCCCGTATTCTGGATGTGCATCGTAACTCCAGAGCTCCTCTACATCCGGCCATTGTATATCGACTGCGACTGCTCCGTCAGGGAGAACCTCCTCTGTCCCAGCAAAATGAACAGCCTCATTGCTGCTCGATCGACCTCGACTCACTGAGTCTGGGATCGACCCCCTGTGCACTTCAATGTCGATCGGTTGTGCATCGGGACTAACACGAGGTAGCAGCACTTGTTTTAGTTCAAGATGCAACCACTTAGCATCTGCAGGGTCCATGTTCTTGAACGTTATTCCACGCCGAGCACACACTTCCTGTACAAGCTTCTTCTTCCCCATCCCCCTATTAAATCGCTCGCTAGAGTTGTCATTTATCCAGGTCAAAAGATTATCTACTGTGATAACGTACAGATCTTCACAACATTTGGCCCCCACTACAGATCCCACTTTCCTCGTTGCATCCTGTACATCTGTCCTAAAACTTCGCATCTCGGTACCACACTTATGCCACCAGTCCATCTGATGCATCACTCCCCTGTCCCGAGCAGCACTTTTGTAATAGTTGCCTTCGTTCGTGACAATTCCATCCACCCCAAACCCACTTGCAGCAAGCTCATCCATACCCGCGTCAAAAGCAATCTTCTCGAGCCCCACTGAGTTCGGTCTGTCCCTCTCCCTTTTGGCATTTTTGTAGTGAAAGATCTTTCTATTTCGCGATCCATGAACGATACAGTACACCACTGCGCCTCACGAGCCTGAGAGAACCTTGCATCTATACACGCCCACTTTCGGCGATCTGGACCCCACCCCACGTTCGCTCGAACATGCTCCATACAGCATTTGGCTTGTTCGATCATGACACCCCACAACCCATCATCCCCTCCCATGAGATTGTAATAGGTCCCATGACCTGGCCTTGGCACGCCCAAAGTGCGACAGACCTCCCACATCTGCTGGTACCCTAACCCAGCAAGGGCAAAAGCACCAACAAGCTTGCCCATCAATGGTGGACTGCGTGGTCCGCGCTTGCTAGGTGGTAAATCATTCCTCTCTCGACTACCTGACCAAAATTCCACCCTCTTAGAGCAGACGTTGCACAACCACATGAGTCCCATACACGCCCAAGCCCGCTTCCATGACTCCAGCAACATTTCGCCTTTGCAGCCAGCCTTGGCGCAACTACCCAAGGCCCGACCACTAAAGAATGACACTATCACACGCGGGTCAAGGAAGCAAACCGTGTCTCCTAGAAAATCGTCCCAACTCGGAGGGGATGGCCACCCACGCGGCCATCGACGCTTCCGCGTCACACTGAGTGCGTCGGGTCTGGATGGGCAGGATGAATATTAGTGGTACTTTGTAAATAGCGGGCAGTTGTAGAGATGTCATGCATTCATGGCACACACATACAAAGAAAGGAGAGTGAGACGGGAGTAAGTGGTAAGGGGAGACGAGGTGCGATGGACCTCACGGTGAGCGATGAGGAATAGTGTGCAAAAGGAGATAAGCAAGGGGTGAATGGTGGATGTGAAAATGTACCCGCCTGGCTCTTCATCTGGACCAATCTCGTCGCGTGCAAGCTCAGCGCTCGTTCTGCAAGGTGTTGTTGCATTTGCCCCACCAACCCCCCCCCCCGCGTTTTCCATGGATGGCGCCGCACCACCGTCCCCATCCCAACACCTATCTGTCTCACGTGCCCTCTCCACTCCCCCAGCTACATCTTGAGACCGCTCAACACTCGGCGGCGGCGCAGCCCCTCGTCCAAGTTCCACACTTAGAGGAGAGGTGTTACTACCTCTCTCCTCGCTTAGTCCTGGAGGTGGCCTTGACTCGTGACCTGGTAATTGCATTGATAAGGTAATGTATTAATATACGGATTGTAATACGTCGTGAAGCACCAAGCCGGGTCTATGTTATTGGTTATTCCTTGCCAACCGCCGTTGCAAAACAGATGCGTAGCTACTTGGCTCTCACCATCAGATGGCTGGACGTTTGTCGAAGCTTGAACATTCGAATCGTCCGACCCCCGACTTCTGACTCTCCTTGGCTTTCCGATTTCGTCCAACTCCCATAATGGAAAGTTATAGACCACTCCATGCAAAGTCCGATCCCGTCGTTTGAGCAAATCGTCCACTCCAGCAAGCCCCCCACCCATGCATTTCCAAAACGCACTGGAGGTCGCCTCAAGATGCAACTTTACCATCTTCCCAGCCACATCGCCCCCGGATCCTACATTTGGAGGGAAAGAGGAGTTGAGAAAGCGTAAATGGGAGGGGAGGTGTCATGTAGGCCTGCGTCCACACCCGTGAAGTGCATGACATGTGTAGGTTGTCATGAGATTCCGTACGAAACATAATGGGCACCATGGATGGTCAGGCCTTTTCCCGTGCATTACCTGCATTCATAGCAGCTTTTAGTAATCTCTGTGTGACATGTGGTGCTGCAAGCATGTAAATCGATAACACATCAGAGAGTGTTGCTGTGGTTGTGTCCGGCATCAGCACACTCAGCCCAACGCGCAGATAGCAGACAGGAGCACGAAGGTGTAAGTGAACAGTATGGTGACGTTGATCAAACAAGCGGCAAAGTTCCGACGCCGTAGGTTGCGCCATCTTGATGGGTGAGCAGAGTGGATCACGGATGAACGCATGGGGGAAGGGGGAATTGGGTTGGTGAAATGGGAAACAAATTCGGAGGTAAGGGGGATACGGATAGGAAGTAATGTGCAAGGGGGATGTGGTAGTAGGGGGATAGGAGATGACACTAAGTGGTAAGAGTGTGGGTCAATGGCATAGTGTGAAGGTGGCATGGGACAAGGGAGGTGGTTTGGGAGTAAGTGGTAGGGGGAGCAGCGGGGAGCTGGAAGTAATGGGTGGGGGGTGGGGGGTGGGGGCAAGAATGCGGGAATTTGAGGGTGCTGGCTGATGGGAATATTAGGGTGATGGGGTCGGAAATACAATGGCGTTGGGTATGAGTGTGCACCGTCAATTTGGAAGGGATTGTGAGGGCGCTGGGATGGGGTGTGTAATTCAGGTCCTGGGGAGAGATGGGGATGGGGGGAGAGAGGGAATAAGTGGTAAGAGGGAGGGGGTGAGTTGGGTGCAATGCGATGGGGAGAGAGATGGGGATAAGGGGGGAGAGGGAATCAGTGGTGAGAGGGAGGGGAAGTGAGAGGGGGGGGGGGGGGGGGGGGGGGGGAGGGCTGTGAATATGAGGGCGATGGAGTAGAGAATTCAAGGGCATTGTGGAGGGGATTTTGAGGGCGCTGTGGAAGGAGTGTGAGACACTGGGGACGGGTTGTTACCTGGAAATGGGATGAGGTTGAGGGCGACAGGGAGGGTTTGTGAGGGCGATGTCGAAGGGTACGTGCGGGCGCTGGAACAGGGAATCTGTGAGCGCTGGGGAAGGGCAGAGAATGAGCAGGGGGGAAGCGGGACGAAAGAAGGGGGGAAGAGAGTGAGCCGTTGGGAAATGGGACGATTGAAGGGCGCAAGAGAGTGGGCGGATGGAAGTGACATGATTGAAGGGTGATCGAGAGTGAGCGGGGGGAAATGGGACGATTGAAGGGTGATCGAGAGTGAGTGGGGGGAAATGGGGTGAGAGTGGGGGGAAATGGGGTGAGAGTGGGGGGAAATGGAGTGAGCAGGGGGGAAATGGGATGAAATACGGGGAAGAGAGAGAGAGAGCAGGGTGGAAATGCTATGGAAGAAGGGGGAAAGAGAGTGAGCATGGGGGAAATGGGATGAGTGCAGGGGGGCAGAGATTGAGTAGGGGGGAAATGGGGCGAGCGATGGGGGAAAGAGAATGAGCTGTGTGGAAATGGGATGAATGAAGGGGGCAAGAGAGTGAGCACGGGGGATATGAGATGTGTAAAGGGGGGAAGGGAGTGAGGGGTTAAGAAATGACTGGGTTAGGAAGAGAGTGTTGGTGTCGGAAGTAGAGCAAGGGACAGGGAGATAAGGCATGGGGAGGGGAGGCATGGGAGATGAGGGACGGGGAGATGAGGCATGGGGAGGGGAGGCATGGGAGATGAGGGACGGGGAGATGAGGCATGGGGAGATGAGGGATGGGGAGATAAGGGATGGGGAGGCATGGGCAGATGAGGGACGGGGAGATAAGGCATGGGGAGGGGAGGCATGGGGAGATGAGGGACGGGGAGATAAGGCATGGGGAGGGGAGGCATGGGAGATGAGGGACGGGGAGATGAGGCATGGGGAGATGAGGGATGGGGAGATAAGGGATGGGGAGGGGAGGCATGGGGAGATGAGGGACGGGGAGATAAGGCATGGGGAGGGGAGGCATGGGAGATGAGGGACGGGGAGTTGAGGCATGGGGAGATGAGGGATGGGGAGATAAGGGATGGGGAGGGGAGGCATGGGGAGATGAGGGACGGGGAGATAAAGCATGGAGAGGGGAGGCATGGGGAGATGGGTTGATTGAAGGGCGCAAGAGAGTGAGCGGGGGGGAATTGGGAAGATTGAAGGGAGCAAGGGAGTTATCTGGTGAGAAATGGGGTGGGAGTGGGGGGAAATGGAGTGAGCAGGGGGGGAATGGGATGAAAGACGGGGAATAGAGAGTTCGCAGGGGGGAAATGTTATGAGAGCAGGGGGAAAGAGGGTGAGCATGGGGGAAATGGGATGAGTGCAGGGGGGAAATGGGGCTCGCAAAAGGGGAAAGAGAGTGAGCAGGGGGGATATGGGATGAGAAAAGGGGGAAAGGGAGTGAGCAGAGGGAAATGAGGTGAGTGGCGAAAATGGGATAGGATGAGTGCAGGGGGATAGGGTGTGAGTAGGGGGGGAAGATGGGATGTGTGAAGGGGGAAAGTGAGTGAGATGTGCCGAAACTGGATGGTTGAAGGGGGCCAGAGAATGAGCTGGGGGGGGACGGGATGAAAGAAGGGGGAACGAGGGGGAGCAGAGGGGAAGTAGGATGTGTGAAGGGGGAAAGAGAGCGAGCTGTGGGGAAATGGGATGAATGAAGGGGGCAAGAGAGTGAGCGGGGGGAAATGGGCATCTCCGCTGAAGGGGGAACGCGAGTGCACAGGGGGGGAAAATGGGATGTGTGAAGGGGGAAAGTGAGTGTTTAGGGGGGGGAAATGGGATGTGTGAAGGGGGAAACTGAGTGTGCAGGGGGGAAATGGGATGAGTGTAGAGGGAATAAGTGGTCTCTAAAAACGAGACAGATGTGAGTGAGTTGACGGGAGGGAAATTTGGCGCTGGGAATGGAATGGAATGTTAGGGCGACGAGAGGATATGTGCGGACGACAGGGAGGGGAATCCGCAGGCAAGCGGGTAAATGCGAGCGACGGTTTGGGGAGATGCGGGCGCTAGGAAGGAATTGCGAGCGATGGGCAGGGGAGATTGTCGGGAGCGGTCTGGCCAGGCAATGAACAATTTCCATGACAGGTTGGAATGCCGTGACAAGGAGATTGTCAAATCTCACTATACTGAACCTTTTCTTTCAGATTTTGGGTCTCATTTCAGGTTTCCACACAACCGATTTAGTTCCCCCCACCCCTCCAAATGGCATTGCCCCTTCCTATCCCCAACCCATCCATGTCAAGATATAAATTGCGCCAACGAGCTCGGATTTACTTGTCACATAATCTGCTACAGCTGAGCCCTAATTCACGGGGAAACATCGCGCCCTCCTCGCTGTGCCCATTTTCTGCCTACGTCGCTCTCTTGAGACCTTTATCTTTGCGACCTGCAACAGAAACTTCAAAAACTGAGTTGCGAGGGTTTTTGCATGAGACCCAAGCTGGGTTGACGCAAGTAAAAGAGGACGTAAGTGCCTAACCAGTCGAACCAGGCAAACCGGTTTGACACGAACCAGCACCGGTTCCAGTTGAGCCTGGCTGGAAGAAAGGCCACAGTCTTGTTTGTGGCAAAACCCGGTTCGCTCGAACTAAAGCTCGGTTTGGTTTTGTGCTTGCTTTATATCCGTCGCAGGTCCATCAGAACTTTTGGAACGTGATATAAGTACAAGACAGTAAGTGCGGAGAGTTTTGTGATCCAGGCGGGCACAGATCCTGACAGCATGTTGTAACCGAGAGACCTGTTTGTGGCGTGGGGGGTGGACGCATGGAAAGAAATATCAGAGTCCTTTTGTGCGTTTGCAGGACCAGAGGACGATAGGTAATGTGAACGTACGGAAATGTAAACGTAAAACGCATGAATAATAGTAAACGTAGTATCCAAGTCAGATTTTGTGACATGAAAAACTGCGACTGCATTTTCTAACGTGATTAGGGGTTTTTCACAGGTTTCCAGGAGTTTGCTGTTTTATTTGGGAATGGCACCCACGTGAGGCAGCAGATGTAGTAGCATCAGCGGCGGTGGAGGTAGTTTTAGTCGGCAAGGATCCGGGTGCGACAGTGGGTCTGCGTTTCCCGCCTTGCGACCCATTCGAATCCCGCCTCAAGGAAAGTCATAAAGGTTACATCGTGGCATCACGTCTCCTCTGGACCCCAATATCCGGCAGCGATGTGGGAAACCAGTGAGAAGACAAAGGGAGAAGAAACAAATGCAGACAATAAAAAGGGAGAGGACACAGGTGATAAGAGAAGAGCGGAAAACTGAATATTAGTTGAAGGGAGAGTAAATGCCTGCTAGCTTACAAGGATGCCAATATTGTGACAAAACCAATGCTGTCAGGGATAGAGCCAGTAAGCTGATTACGGGTAAGGCTCCTGGGAAGAGGCACGGCCAAGGACAAAGGCAGAGGCAGAGTGCATCATAGAAAAGTGAGGAAAGGGAAGTGCGAGAGTGGTTCGGCCCCGCAAGAGTCAAAGCTGAGGGAATACTGCACTGTAGTCACGAGCACACGGCGGGTCAGGGCCGGCCTGCTTGTAAGTTAGGCCACGGCCAGGCAACACATTTCACATGAAGAAGTTGTTATCAGATTGAGCGTCACTTTAGTTTAACCGCAACTCACAAGATTGACAAAAGCTCGTTTCATGAACCAGCCCGTTTCCTCTCACCTTGTCATCTTGATTCTCCAAAGGTTCGAAAAGCCTTTAAACAGGAAGCCTCTTTAAGCAACAAAGTGTGTGAACCTCCATGTGTGAAGTAATTTTATGTACGTACAATGATGTCTACTTCTGTAACGTACAAACATGTGGGCACCTAGGACATACGGATCCATTCAGGTTTTGAAGTGAAAGAAACCGGAGGGGAATTGGATACACGGAATGGGAGAGGAGGACAAGAGGAGAGAAGAGAATGATAGGGCTAACAGAATTTCAAGCTTCTTCATGAATCCAATCTCAGCAGGAATTGATCCAGTGAGCTGATTGCCGTAAAGATATCTGAATAGAGGGTGGGATACCAAAGGGAGGCAGAGGAATAAGAGTGCCGGGGGAGGGGAAAATGCATGCCAGCCACTAATTTGGCAGGAGGCTAATAATGAGTATGAGTTTGATGAGCAACATACCTTGTTGCCAAGAACACATGGGTTGGACGAGAGCAGTAACACTCAGAGTTGGGCAAGCACTGAACTTGAACTACTTCGGGCAGAACCGGGTAAACTGGCCCCTTGGTCGAAGCAATCGAGTTGACCATGTAGTCGAACTTGAGAGGTTCGAGTTAGACACGAGCAAATGGTGAACACCAAACATGTTCGGTTCGCCCTGCATGAACAATAGAACGGGGCGAACCAAACATCTTCGGTTGCCCAAACAGTTTTTGGTAATTAGGGGTGTTCCTGGTTCGTGATATAAGGTGAACATTTGCATGTCAGGGGCGAACCCAAACATGTTCGAGTTTAAGAGTGTGTTTTCAGTGGGCCAGCTCCTCCCCCATCGCCTCTCCCCTTTCCTCCTTCCACCTCCAGGGCCGTGCGTCGTCATCTCTGCCTCAAAATCCGTCTAGACTTGAAAATGATGGCTACCAGATTCGCGAACACCGAATATATTCGGCCGGACATCAAACATGTTCGGCCGAACATTTTTGGCAAACAAAAAAAGACGTTCGGTTCGCCACGAACATGTTTCAGGCGCACCGAACAGGTGTCCGCCCTTGTGCTCATGTCTAGTTCAGTATGACTAGAAAATCTGTTAAACGCACATATGTTTTAGAGACTTCCCTTCCACCGCGATGACTTTCGATTCCTTTTCCCCCCTTTCCCCACCATCCCCCACTCTAGACATGAGCATCGGGCAAACACCGATGATGTTCGCCCGAACCGCCACGGACATGTTGTAATTGTGTACTTATACAACATCCATAGGCTAGAATAGGTATAGTCATTTCGATTATTGGGGGGTTGGGTGTACTCTCCAACCACACTTTGTGGTTTGTCAAGATTGGATTTGACCATGGTACTTGGTTGGCACTTGCCAACCTTTGGTCTTTAGACCAACCAATCCCAACCAACCTACATTGTGAGGTTGCTTGCTCTACAAGGCACCTCACCCATTGGCCAACTTAGTGGCCAATAGGGTTAGCTTCTCTTCTACTGTTCCCTTCTTGCATGCTTATATTATAGAGCCTCTTGGCTCATTACAAAATCACACTCTTGAGTTCTAACATGGTATCTAGAGCCAAATGGCTCACGCCGTCCTCCCTCGATCCTTAGGCCATAATCTCCTTTCCGCTCCTCAAACCTAGCCGACTCTGATCTACATCCGCCCTCCCGCACCTCAGATCTAGCCATCTGCAGCTCATATCTACTCCTCCGCGGCCTCAATCCGCCCTCCCGCACCTCAGATCTAGCCTTCCGCGGCTCAGATCCACTCCTCCGCAACCTCAATCCGCCCTCCCGCGGCCTCAATCTGCCTTCCCGCGGCACCAATCCTCCCTCCCGCCGCCACGCCTCAACTTGCGCGCAGCCGCAGACTAGATATGAGCAAATTCCCGAACCCCTGTTTGGTTCGAGTCGAACACGTTCGACTCGAACCGAACAGGGGTTTTAACGGTTAAAAAATGTTCGTGACGAATACCTAGGTGTTCGTCACCTAAATGCACGAACAACTAGGTGTTCGCCGAAATCCAGCGCGTCAATGCACGAACAACTAGGTGTTCGCCGAAATCCAGCGCGTCAAATTTTGACGCGCTGGTTGGATCTAAAAGGGGAGGTCGACGATTGAGCTCATTCTTGGGCTCAATCGTCGATTTCCGCTAAGGATAGCTTTCCGCCCACTACCCACTTAAACTGCACCATTCCCACGGTTTAAAGTCCACATTGCGGCTAGAAACGTTAAGTAAAAGGGTAGATTAGGTTAGGAAACGGTTAAAAACAGAAATATCGAGCGTTTCGTTTTAGCAAGGCGAAATTGATTCCCATCAGATCTGCGCCAAGCCTTACTGTAACTATTGTAGGGCTTTAGTGAAAGTGAAGAACACATTTTTTCCACCGTTTTTTGGCTAGGCCATTATGGATTCCGAAATGGTTGACGTAGGGTTGGGTAGCATCCAAGACAAGGCCATTCCTGGCCCATCCGCACTAGTTACTGCAACTGAGACTGCAAGCCCTATCGCACCTCCCGAACTCATAGGGGGGGGAATACCAGAAGTCCCCACATCACCAAAAAGCTACAGGTTTAGTGGCGGGGGGCTGGCTGCACCCTCACATCGGTATGGGAAGTCTCGTGATGAGATCGAGGAGAATTCAGAGGAGGCCGAGGAGGATGCGGAGGGGGGGGGGGGGGGGGGGGGGGGAGGTCAAGGGTGGTGGGGGGGGGGGGGGAAGAAGTGCCCACGCATCCAACGTAGTCCATCCGATAGCAATGACAAGGATTATGACCTGAAGAAAGATGGGGAGGGTGCGGGGGTGGGGGATGACGACGAGGAGGAGGAGGAGAAGGGGGAGGACGAGGAGGAGGAGGAGGGGGAGGGAGAGGGTAGTGGTGAGGAGGCTGCGGAGGAGGAGGAGGAGGTGTCCCAGCCGGGGAAGGCCAAGGGGAAGGCCAAGGGGAAGGCCAATGGCAAGGGGAAGGTGAAGAAGAAGGGCAAGGGTAAAGGTATACAAGGTTGGGGGGGGGGGGGGGGAGAGGATGGTGTGGCCGCGTCGGTAGATGAGAATAATGGGCCTACAAAGGCCAAGAAAGGGGGTAAGAAGGCCCCGGGTTGGCAGGTCCAGATGTTTGGGCCATTGGGGGCGGATGAGAAGCGCAAGTGTAAGATGTGCGACACCCGTATCTGTTGGTCGACGGGCACTACGACTCCAGGGGTGCGCCACATGGTTGCGAAGCACACCGCGCACCACGACATTTGGGAGTATAGGGCCCTAAGGCCACACCTACTGACTAAGGGGGAGACCTTCCCGGAGGGGGGCTACGATGGAGTTCCCGACAAGAAGGTGAAGAATCGGCCACACGTGGCTTCGTGGCCCAATGTGCCGGCGTTGCAGACCCCGAGCGCGAAGGGCGAGGCAGGCGGCATTGAGCGCTTTGTTACGGCGAGGCTGAGTAAGATGAAGCTTCGTGCGGCGATCATGAAGCTTGTGGTGACCGGCGACTTGCCCTTTCGCATCGTCGAGCTGAATGCGGTGAGTAAGCATTCACCTCCTCTCTTGTACGCTGCGCTTAGGTGGATTGAGATTGCTGGCCGCACGTGCTACTTCATTGCCGTCCAGCTATGGCATCAACGATGAGGATGCTCGCACGCCATCATGTTTGCTTATGAGAAATGGTCACCCAAGCAGCACATGCCATTACTGAATTGCTGTCCACCTTATTCAACCCTCCTCGTGCTTGTATATACAACCCCAGTTCACGTAGCTGCTGATCTTGCTGAACGAAAAGTGTGGGGAAAAGGGCGTGATCCCATCACGCTGGACGGTGGCACGCAACACCGTCGTCCTTGCTGACTTGGCGCTCGAGGCGGCGATTGCTGAGCTGGCCTCTACAACCTGTGCCGTGCCGTACAGCACCGACATGTGGACAGGCCCGAACGGCAAGGCCTACATGGTGCTGACAGGTCACTTCATGTCGGAGCAGTGGGAGTTGCGCCAGGTGATTCTTGCTTTCGTCGAGATGCCTGACGGGCATGGGGGGAAGGATATCGCTACGGCGGTGGAGAAGGTGGTGGAGCAGTGGAAGTTGCAGACGCGTTGCCTCGGTCTCACGACCGACAATGCGTCTGCAAACGTCGTTGCTCTTCGGCACCTCTCGGAGGAGGGTGACTTCTCGGGGTACTTCAGCGAGAAGGCTCACTACAGTTCGGGTTTGTAGGCAGATTCACATGTACTCTCTCCCATCAGCATCGGCTCATGCTAAACTTTGTCTCTCTTGCTTCCGTTCGCACCTCAACACGTTTGTAACCACATTCGCTTGTTTGAGACATGTACCCCTCCAATCCAATGCAGGTGCATGTCGCACATCGTGAACCTGGCAGTGCAATCTGGGCTGGGTGTGGAGTCGATGCAGGGGCCCCTGAAGAAGGTGCTGGACATTGCCTCGTGGGTGGGCATGTCGCCCAAGCGAGGAGCCGCCTTCATTGCGCTCCAGGTTCAAAATGGACCGCTGCCCAATGGGCCGCACAAGCTCGTTCAGGACAGTCCTGTGCGCTGGGGGTCCACACACGAGATGGTTCTGCGCTTTCTGCTGCTGAGGCCCTTCATCGACATGCACTTTGCCCGCGAGCAGGTACGGCTCCATTCGTATCCATTGCAATCTTGGTTGATTGGTCGCGCTAGGGCTGTTGCTTTGAACATTGCCAGAATCCGTTGGGTGTCCAACCGTTCCCTAAGTCTAAACACATGGCGTACTCAATGTCATCCCACCCGCTCTTTGGCACACACCTAATCAACAGGGCACCACGAAGGCTGAGAAGAAGAAGTGGCGAGATATGCGGTGACCGATGCCGAGTGGGAGGTCTTGGGGGCTTTGGAGGGGTTTCTCCGTCCCTTTGCCAGAGTCTCCATAGCCGCCGAGGGGTCGACCTACCCCACTGTGTCGATGGTGCTGCCGTACTTCAACGGCCTCATCGACAGCCTGGAGAAGAAGCTGCACACAGGCACGCACGAACTAGTTCGTCCACTCATGGCTGCCGCGCTGCAGCACCTGAAGAAGTACGAGTTTGCCGTCGGGGAAGAGTACCGGATCGCGACCTTCTTGGATCCGTCCATGAAGGCCGAGTACTTTAGGATGACAAACTGGGAGCTTCAGCATCCAGGCATTGTGGCATGTGAGGGTGGGCGGCTTAAGCCACGTAGGAGTGCGGACACGGTGGTGAGCTTGGTGCGATGCCGAGTGGAGGAGTACCAGGCTCGAGCAGCACGTGATGCTCCCACCCCACCACCAGCACCACCAGCAGCAGTGGTGACACCGTTCGAGGACGACGACGACGAGTTCGTGTTCTCTAGGGCGCAGCTGTAGGAGCGTGTTTAAGCTAGTGCAGCGGCGAGAGCGGGGGGAGGGGGGACGTCGGTGGGGGATGAGGTGGATCGGTACTTAGCGGAGCTGCCTGTCTCGGACGTGCCAGCGCTGCAGTACTTGCAGCGTGCGAGGAACATGGACACGATGAGGCAGATGGCACGGGATTACCTCGCTATCCTAGCCACCTCTGCAGCTAGCGAGCGAGCTTTCTCCATGGGGAGGAACCTCATCTCCTTGCACAGGCACAGGCTGAACACTGAGCATGTTAGCGCGAGCATGACTCTCACTTCATGGTACACGTCACACCCTGGGAAGAGTATTGGTGAGGAAACCAGCCGCAGTGGAGAACAGGCACCACCAGAGTTGGCGCTGGAGGGGGAGGGGCTAGACAAGGGGGATAACGAGGAGGTTGTTGCTGTGGCGGGAGGAGGGGGAGTTGAGTGAGGGAGTTGCATGAGGACTTGGTGCTGTCTGGCTTTGTTTTTCATGTCCTCGACTTGACCTTGCCCTGGAAATTGAGTTGTTGACTTATTTATCCATATTTGACTACACCTTGAGTGCGAGGCATTGCTGATCTTCGCTGCTACCTTTATTTACATTCTGATTTTGCTTGTAGAACACGCGCCCTGAGTTTCTTACATGCACTGAATGTGATTATACTAGAAAGTACCCCCCATGGAAAAATATTCGAGTTCGTGTCAAACACCTTAGTGTTCGGCCATGCCTAAAAAATGTTCGACACTATACTCGAACAAGGAACACTAATATTTAGGAAAACTGTTCGGGACAAACGTGTTCGGTTCGGTTCGACTTGACCAAGTGTTCGTCTGTTCGAGTCAAACGTGTTCGGTTCGCTCGTTGCTCATGTCTACCGCAGACGATTTGTGCGCCGACGCGTACGCCCAACACGCAGCCGTGCACAGCCTCCACACCGACGCAGACGGCCAGCGCGCGGCCGCGAACGACTTGCGCGCCAACGCGGATGACCAGCGCGGCCACGAACGACCTGCGCGCCGACGCGGACGACCAGCGCACAGCCGCGGACAGCCTGCGCATCGACGCGCACGCCAGCGCGCAACCGTGAACGACATGCGCGCCGACGCGGACGGCCAGCGCGCAGTCGCGAACGACCTGCGCGCCGACGCAGACGGCCAGCACGGAGCTGCGGCTGACCTGCGCGCCGTCGCGGACGGCCTGACCGCGATCGCCCACGACCTCCCCCTCACCCGCGCCCTGCCCCGCATCTCCGCGCCAGCCTCCCCCCTACCTCCTCCCCATACTCCACCCTCAATAGCACCAGCAGTGGCACCTTTAACGGCACCAACAGCAGCACCGGCAGCGGCACCAGCTGTTAGAAATAGGCTGTCAACACTTTGTGTACCCTATTTTATATGTTGTAGGTTATTTGCAGGTTGGGTGTAGATTTGTAATCCCAACCCTATCCGGTTGGGATTCCCTCGTAATCCAACAAATCTGCCAACTCACCATGGGAGATTTGCTTGGATTCCCATCCCATCCTTTCCCTAACTTTGCTCAACCCAACCTTGTTTGTACTTAAGGCCTAGTGCCTTCTATACTAATCAATCAGTTAAGCTCCATTTCTATCATGGTATCGAGCTAGTAAACTCCGCTCATGCGAAATCCGATCCTTGGCGTCGCGATGGTTCCCTTCCTCTCGGCTCTTTCTCGTTCAACTTCCGGCCTCTTTGCTTAAGCATTTTCAAGCCTCCTTTATTCGCGTCAGTCAAACGCGCATTCACATTCTGTCTTCGCGCATCTCCGATGTCCACAGTGACGCATTCCGTCTTTAATTTCCCTCAAGTAAGGTTCTGGATTGTTAAACTACCGTGGCGAATTTCTCGTATTTTGCATTCCTTAACTTCGAGCAGCGGAACAGGTTCAGCGGCGCAGCGGAACAGGTTCAACGGCGCAGCAGAATGGGTTCAGCGGTGCAGCAGAACAGGTTCAGCGGCGCAGCAGAACAGGTCAGCGGCGCAGCAGAACAGATCAGTGCCGCAGCTGAACAGGTCAGCGGCGCAGCAGAGAAGCGGACAAGGGGCAGCGGCGAAGCAGAGAAGCAGACAAGGGGCAGCGGCGAAGCAGAACAAGGGGCATCGGCGAAGCTGAGCAGCAGACCAGAATTCGGGATCTTATTGCCGAAATCGCGACTTTCCGAGGTTCGGACTTCCTCAATTTAAAAAATCGCCGCACTGCGTAACAGAGACTTTAGCGCTGCGCTCTGTGCGAACGGCGTCCTCAACTTCAACTCTCGTCGGAAATCTCATCGTTCTTAATGTCGCTCCCAACGGTACGAGCACCAACTGGGGAATGGTGCTATGGAGTGGAGAAGCACGTCCTTAGCACGGAGCTGAAGGGGATTTGCCTCAAGGACATCCTCCTCAACCGCGGCAAGGGAAAGAAGCCTCTCCCTCCTAATCCTCTTGGCGAAGGAGCCACTACCGCGAACAAGACTGCTTTTGAAGCTAAGACCACCAAGTATGAGACCGACTTCAGTGTGTGGGAGTAGGCGGATGCGGCAGTTAATAGGGTTTCTGTCAGCAAGTTTCTAAATGGCCTACACTATGAGCTCAGGCGGGACGTGGCGGTGCGCGTCTTTGACATGGGAGCCCGCGCGACATTGAAGTACGTTAATGAAGTGGTGAAGCGTGTGGAGACGGGGCGTCGTATGTACGAAATCGAGGCAACTCCAGAAGGAAGCGGCGAGCGCAAGAGGCCGGCGTGGACGGCGGCACCAGCAAAGCGAGAGCGCCCACCGTGATGAGGGGGAGAGGAGAGGCGCTAACATAACCGTGGAAAGTCAGGGCACCTCAGAAGGGACTGTCGCAACCCTCCGGCATGCTCGACGTGTGGGAGTGAAGAACATATGAGGCGGGACTGCCCGGATGCCCCTGTGTGTGAACGATGCGGACGGAAAGGGCACGCAGAGAAGGACTGCTATGCTGCAGGGCGGGAGGGACGACAGAAGAAGGACCCAGAGGACATGCGGGTCCAGATAGCACGGCTGCAGCGATAGCTGCAAGAGCTGGAAGGGCAAGAGACGAAAGGAACTGCCATGCTGTCCAAGGGTGGGGAAGAGGAGGATGAAGGCAGCGAGGCGAGCTTTGCTCGGATGGCACGATCGGCTCGGGAGAGAGATGATCTGGGGCTGCGGGCGCGGCAGCAATACTTCCCACGGGAGCAGCCGTCACAGGAAAGGGGCCCCAGGCGGGACACAACGACATAGCCTGAGCAGGGAGCGGCACGTCGTCACCCCCTTGAAAGAATGGCATGTCAGCCATCAGTGCTGGTGGTGGAGAAGGATGTGATGGTGATGGGCGGAGGCAGGGTCAAGTAAGCTATACTGGACACTGGGACGCACAACGTGCTGATCGGAGCACCCATGGCGAGGCTGTTGGGATTGGATCGAGAAGATCGGGTGATCCCTGAAGGTTACCTGCTCATGACGGCGGACAGAGGAGCGGCTAAATGGATGCCAAGAACCCGCTGTACAGTGGAGATCGTGATCCGGCCAGGGCAGAAGGAGGAATGCATTGTGAGGATGTTTTGCGACATATCAACGTCGGAAGATTACGACCTCCTACTGGGAGTTGAATACCTGTACGCCATTGGAACCACCATCTGCACGTGGGAGGAAAAGTTGATGTATCGTGTGACTTACCGGGAGCACGGGAGCCCGCTTGCGCAACTGCCGGTGCGGTTTATCCGGAGAGAGCCTCGGGAGGCTTACCAGGCGATAGAGAAGTCGCTGGAGGAGGAGTTGGGGATCTTGATATGGAAGGAGATGGATCAGACAGTGGCCGCAAGGAAGCAGTACGAGGAAATCTGGGGGGCAAGCGACAACCTGAAGGAGCCACAGCTGAACCTACGGGCGTTCCAGAAGCCCCTGGTCTTATTGGAGCTATACGGTGGGATAGCAATGGGCTTGGCAGCAGTCCTAAAGGCAGGGCGGACAGTTTGCACCTACCTGTATGTGGATAATGATGACCACGCGAACCTGATGGCTTGCCAGCACATCAAGCTCCTGAAAGCAAGGTATCACGAGCAGCTCATGGAAGGGGAGGCAGAGAGAGGGGCGGAGTGGTTGTGCAGAGGAGTGGAGGAGATAGACGATCGACTCATCTCACAGTGGGGGAAGATCGACCTGATGATAGCGGGTTGGGGCTGTCAAGGCTACTCGCGGGTAGGAAAAGGGAGAGGGATGGCAGACGAGAGGAGCGGGCAATTCCGCGTGCTGGTAAGGGTGCTGAAATTTATAAAGAAGAGGCAAGGGAAGGTGGCCTATATCATTGAGAACGTCGACATGTCTGACGATCAACGACCGGCGGTGCAGGCTGCTAACGAGGAGATCACGGCAGAGCTGGGGGCAGGCGTGGCCTGGGATGCGGCACAGAATGGGAGCAGGGTGCACCGGCCCAGGCGATATTGGCAGAATCTGGTGCCTGAGGCGGCGCTACGGTATCAGCTATCCCGCATGGAGAGGCCTAGGGCAAGGCTGGTGGCCGACATCTTGGAGCCAGGGAGGCTAGAGGGCCCAGTGACACAGCCTGATCATCCTACTCAGTATCCGTGCAACAACTGGATTCATAGAAGTGGAGGGGGTGGCTGGCCCATGGATGGTGTACGACCAGACAAGGGGAGAATGGGAAGAGCCGACCGTGCAGGAGTGGGAGCTGGCTATGGGGTCCCTAGCGGGGGCCATGGCGTGCCCGCAAATGACTGAGAAGGACCGGAAGGCGGCGCTGGTCAGGGCAATGGATCTCAACGTCCTGCACTGGTTGTTCACAACCATGTCCAACCATCTGGAGAGGAAGTGGATGGAGCGGCGCATCGACAAGGCAACACTAAGCAGGCCGCAGACACAGCTGGTGGTGAGCAAGGAAATGGAAGCATGGACGATGCTGGGAGGGCTAGAGGAGAAGGAAAAAAACAGTGGTGGTGGGGAATCCCAGAAGAGAAGAGGCGCGCCAGCTGGAGGGATGACAGGGAGGGCATCCCAGGGAGGTATGCGGACCCACAGGAGAGCGAGGAAGAGGAAGAGGAGGAGGAGGAGGAAATGGAATTGGCGGGGAGTGAAGAGGAAGGAGGAGGGGACACGCCGGAGGAGTACCATGATTCGGACTTCGATATGGAAGGAGACTACTTCGACCCACCTGATTGGCCACCCATAGGACCGGTGTTCATGGCGTTGGATGTCACGCCTGGGGAAGGAACGGCACCAGTAAGGGAAGAGGAGGCAGGAGAGCTAGAGGTGGCAGGACGAGCGTCGAACAGGGGGCAGAATGATCTTGTGCGAGAGGAGCAACAGCCGGCCTTGGACATTGGAGAAGGACTGCAGGGGAAGCAGAGGGAGGCCGCGAAGATCTTGCTGGCAAGTCATCGGCATACCTTCGCCTACACGTTGAAAGAGCTGGGATGCTGCAACT